AAAAAAAGTAGTATCAAGAGATAAGTGGAAGTGAGTAGCTGATATGTGGTACAACTCCTCTGTACTAGGAGTAAGAAATTTTGTTTATTTGTTGGGACACACCTGGTGGTACTCTCCTATTCCTGATTCAGTGTTGGGGTACTAGTGCCCTGCTGGTGAATTCAGGGCGAACAAGCTGTTTGGAATTGAACACTGGGTTCCTGAATTCAAAACATGCACTCTAACTCCTTGAGCTATCTGATTTCTGCTGAATATCTGAACTTTGTTTGTTTTGGGGTCACACAGCAGTTAGTGCTGCTGGGGATTGAACCCTGGTTGGCCACATGCAAGGCAAATGCCTTAACCCTATACTATATCTTGGCCCCCAAATCTGAAAATTTTACTAATTTGCTTAAATTTTCTAGACCCTGTCTGAGTGCTTGAGAGAAACTGGCATTACTCTTTCTCTATGTCTTTGTCTCTGTCTCTTTTTCTGCCAATAACTTCTTCCAACTTTTATTTATTTATTTTAAATTAAAATGAACTTTTATTTTTTATTTATTTTTAAATTTTTATTAGTGAAATTTTTATTTTTGGATTCAAAATTCCCTGGTTAAAATTTTTCCATGGTCATAACTGAACATTTTTAATAAAGAAAATAGCGTGTTTAGTGGTGGTACTGGGGAGGATTGGAAGAAAATTAAAATGCAAATGAAACCAAACAAAAATTCAATACCAACATTGATTTCAGGTGCCTCTGGTTTGATTCTTAGCTCTACCTAAGAATGCCTAAAATTGAGTCTCACTGTTTTGTCACATGGACAATAGGTACACCATCTACTTTATGGGATGTTGTGATAACTTGAGAGAAGATTTAAGACAACATATAAAACCTATAGCAGAAATCTTAGCATTTCCCAAAGTGAATTTTAGTAAGCCCTCAAATATGGAGTTACAATCCGTTAAGTTTAACTTTAAATAAAAACATACATTTTAAAAAAACTGCTATCATGGGAAGAGGCAGATAGTTGAAGTAGACAGCGAGAAGTATCATCTAGAATTTTTATAGATTTGGGAGTGTTTGCCATTTTGCTCCTTTTGAAGAAAAAACAAATGAATTTGTTTTCTTTCTTTCTTGTAGTACTGGGTTAGAACACATATGAAAAATGTGTTCTCAGGGGATTGCCCTGCCACAGAGACAGGGGGGGATGGGGGGATGGGGGTGGGAGGGATATTATCCATGGTGGTGGAAAATGGGCACTGGTGGAGGGATGGGTATCTGATCATTGTATAATTGAAACCAAAGCACAAAAAATTGTAAATCTACAACTGTAAAAAAAAATAAAATAAAATAAAGGGAAAAAAATGTGTTCTACCCTTGACTTTGTATTAAAGTCTATGAGTTGCCAGAAATAGAAATACTTTAATAAAAATCATTAAAAATTATTTATCTGGATACGTACAAATGTACAATGGTTATTAATGATTATTACTGAGTTTTATATTCCTATGGCTAGAAATTCTATTATATTTTGTATTTAATTTATACTTTTATTTTTAATAATTTTATTGATATATTTTTAATTTTTTTTTGCCATTCCCAGTGGCTCAGGGGTTACTCTTGGCTCTGCTCTCAGGAATTACTCCTGGTGGGCAAAGGGGACCATATGGGTTGTTGGGGCTAGAACTTGGGGTTCACTGTGTACAAGGTAAGCACCTTACTCATTGTACTATTGCTCCAGCTCCAATAATCCTTTATATATTTTTAATAAACATTGGGCTAAACAGGAAAACAAAGATTAAAAAGGTCATGTATTTTAACAATAAAATAAAGTGTTACAATATGATAAAATTATAGCTCTTCCTGCAACGAGAAAGAGCTAATGAATTAGAATTTTTTTGCTGCATCCTTTGAATTTCTTGTGGAAAAGGAGGGCCAACATTCCTAGATGACTTTGGAAATTGTTCTTCTTCCTTTCATGGAAGAAGATATTTATATTGGAAATATTTATATTTCCAGAGCCATTCCTGCTTGGATTCCAGCTTACTGCTAGACATAGTACACAGAATTTCTGTAAGGCTTGCAACGAAAGACTGACAGGTATTATTATATTTGTTTCTTTTTTGGTTTGGGGGATCCACACCTGATAGTGTTTAAAGTTTACACTTGGTTCTGAACTTAAGGTCCCTCCTGTGGTACTCAAAGGACCACAAGATGCTAGGGATTAAACCTCGGCCTCCTGACTCAAAAGCATGCTTTGATCTAACTCTTTAGTACCTCCCTGCAAGGTATTTTGAAACATAAACTTTGATATTTAGGAAAATCATTTACTAGGTAAGATAAAGGAATAAAAATGTTTGGTCACATAATATGGATCTTTTGAAAGAAATAATTTAAGGATACTTCAGATGACTGCCATATGCTAGACTGATTCAAATCTATAAAATATACTTAGTAAAAATAGTGAAAATCTCTGTGATTTTGTTTTTACTCATTGTTTAAAAAAGCAGTTAGTCTGAGTTATTTATTGTAAATCCTTTAATGTATACAAAACTAGGTTATCAAATTAAAACAGACCTGCTCTTAAATTTCCAAGTGAATAGTGAATTTTGGGAAGGAGTTTAAACATAACTTTAAATATATAGAAATAGAACATCTTACCTCAACATTAACTCTTTATAATTAATTCAATTATTATTTTTTCATTAATTTATTTATTGTTTTATAAAATGGAATGTTACATTTGTGTTTCAAAATATCTGGCACAGGGACTGAGGAGAGGAGGTAACTCATATTTTACAAAACATTACAATTCCGTATTTTAGGTATTCAGCCTCAAATCTCATCATGAGATGAACTAGATAAGGTTTGTTTATTGCATAATTTGATCAAAGTGAGCCTAAGAAGACCCTTTCTTTGAGTTTATAGAAGTGCTTCAACCAACATCTAATTTGACCAAATCTGTAAGGATACCGTAGTTCAGAGTCTTGCTATTAAGTTTCTGTAAATACCATCAGGTTTCTTTGTAATGTCTAAGCAATAGCTCTGCTTACATATGGCTTCAATGCAAATACTAAATCTTACTTTGCTTTTTCTTTGGGAGGAAACTTGGGGAAATCGTCCCTCTAATAATGACATCTAGGTCAGGACAGTACCCACCTGTGTCCTCCGCAAAAACAGCGGTAAGCGTGTAGCAAAAAGACACCCAGGAAAGAAGAGAATAAAAGTTTAGGGGTTTACTACATGGAGAGGGCAACAAGGTCAAAAGAAGAATATGAAATTGTCATGACCTTATTCTAAACTTTGAGGGTATCTGCCAATTGGCTTTTTGAAATATCCGAGTCTCTGCTCTTAATGTAATCATCGAATTTTGATGTGCTTAATTGCTCTTTTGCAACTTGAACAATTAACACACACGCTGGGAACGGTGGTGGGGAGCAATAAATATTAATTAAGTGGTCAGTTTGTGCATTCACTCGAGCGACCTGAAAGCTTGGACAGTCCGTATGTGTTTTGTTGCATTCTCTGCTACTGACCCCAGCTGGACGGAGGTCGAAGGTGCCAATATGATTGACGTTAGACCGAGATTGTCCTAGTTGCATCCAGGAACATGCCTAATCCGATTCTCCCTCTAGAGGGAGACATAGTCCAGCATTTATCCTAGCCTCCAGCCTCTCATCCTTCACTGTCGGACTTTTTCTGCAGGACTGCAGTTTGCTCTCAGCATCAGCGGCGGCTGCAAACGGAACTGGCTGACGAGAGTGGAGGAGGGAGGTAACGACGACCGGTCGCACCATCCCATTCTACTGCTCAACTCAACCTGGAGAGTCAGGGATCTCTTCTCTCCTCGCGTTCTCTTTGCACTTTACGGGAGGCCAGTTTTTCCATCCACCTTGGACCGCCAAGCGGGGTGGAATAAGAGGTCTGAGTGGCACAGGGGAGGGGGGTTTCTGGCATTAAGGTGACTTTTGACAGTACAGCCTTTAGGGTAAGGGGCAGAGAGGCGGTTCTACGCAGCCGTTCATTTCTTTTTTCTTCTGGTGAGCTGTATTTTCTTTTCCCAGCTCCCTTCCTTTTCCTGCCGCTTTTAGCTAAGTGACACAGGCAACACCTGCTCGCGTGAGTTCGCTGATGGAACTTGCACCTTTCGGGGAGTGAGAATACCGGGAGCCGGGACACAGCGGCGAATTTTCTTGCCTGGTAACGCAGGATGCCTAGATTGGCCGCGGCGACGCTGCTCCGGGCTCTGTCCGCAGCTCTTGGAGGCGGCATCGAGGGGTTGCTGTTGGCCCGGAGTTGCTGCTAAGGAAGCGGGACCCGGCTCAAAGTCTCGGAGAGGGCACAAGCGGGCACCTCTCTGCTAGCCGCGGGAGCAGGAGCACTGGAGACGCCGTCCTGGGAGTCTTTCGAGCGGAGGAGGACGCCTGAGACTCTCCTTGTTCCCTCGAACGTACCCAGCAACTCCGGCACCGGCAGCTTGGGCACCCGGACTTAAACGAGCCAGGCCACCCGACAAGTCGGCGGCAGACTGCTCTCTTGGAGGTGAATTGCTCTGTCCAAATTGCCTTTCCCCGGAGAGAGAAAGAGATAAAAAGAGAGGGAGAGGGGGGAAAAGGGGCGGTTGGGTGGGAGACGAGGAGGGATGTGTGCATATGTAAGTGTATAACAGGGGCAGCCTACGGAGGCGAGAGGGAAAGTCTTACTGGGCGTTAAGAGCAAACAAATCAGAGACGGAATAAGAGCGGTGACTCCTGGATCCTTGCAGTCGCGGGAGCCGAGCGCGGCGCCCCATCCGGCGAGGGCGCCCGGCGACCTCGGGCGCGAGCTGCTGGACTTTGGCGGCTTCTCGGTCCACCAATCTTTTAATGACTTTAACCGGCGGAATAACGAGGGCGGAAAAAAGGGAACTAGGATCCCGCACTCCACCTTCCACCGCGCGCTAGGTGGGGAACTCCAGTTCGGGTGTTAAGAGATTCCTGATTCCTCTTTGCCATCCGAGGGGGCAAGACGCGCGCGCGCGCACACACGCACGCTCAGGGCCACAGTCGCACGCCCTTCGCGATCACACACACACACACACACAGACACACACCGCCAGACTGGGGTTCCTTATGCCCCTGCATGGTGACGGCGGATTGGCATCTTGGAAGCGATGCAAGAGCGATAAGGCTGGCGCTGGCCCGCGGAAACTGCCGGAGCATCGCTAGGTGTTGCCTCCACCGGGAAGCCGGGCTGCAGGTAGGTGCGAGCCTCGCGGTGGGCCGCCCGGGCGCCGGCGGTTGGGGCATTGGCGGTACCCGGGGCCGGAATGCCCTAGTCCCCTTTGCTGGAGTCGGAGGACTGCATGAGGGGGCTCTCCCCCAAAAGGCAGAGGGGAGAGCGGGTGCTGGTACGGCGTCCGGTGGCTCCCTAGCGGGCGGGGTTGCAGGGGCGCGGATCGGAGCTAGCAGGAGACTCTGAGCGCGGTGCCGCCCTCCTCCCTTTGCTTCTTTTTCTCTCCCCCTTTTCACACTAGCAACCCGGCCGAAGGGGGAAGTGGGTTATCATTTGTTTCCCTCAAACAAACCAACGCTGCCGGGCAACCATATTGAACTCCTAATAACTGGGGGGCGAGGGGGTCACTGCCAGGGGAGGATCCGTGGGACGTGTGGGGTCGCCTATGTGAACCCCCACTTTCGGTCCACTTCTGATGAGTTCATCCCTGGCCCCGTGTGCAGAGGATGAGTGCCTCTCGGAGACCTTGCCACCTCTATTTTCATGAAGAATCATCTTAATTAAGTTTGCGGACTCCCCCAACAGTTTAAAGGTTTATGTAGCTTTGAGAACCCAGGCTTTGTGCCAGGATAGGAGCAAGCCTGAGAAGGGTCACTTTTGCGCACAGGCGTTCAGAAAAAAAGAACTCCTTTGAGAAATGGAAGGTTTTGCACTTCTTCCCGGATAGATGTCTTCCCGATCTGACTATTAGTGCACTGGTTTTGGTCTGGTTCCTTTGCTGTGCAGTCTCCTGTCAGTTCCCAAAGACCGGGTTCGCGCCCAGAAATGTTTTCTTTAGGCCACTCATTTTCACACGCCACTGGGGAATGTGTTATTTCCAGAAACTGCAAGAGAAAGTTTGAGATCCGTCGCCCTATTTCTCCTAGAATTGGAGACTGAGCTGTCTGGTTTCTACTTGAAATGCAGAATGCAGGCGCTGGCGGAGCCCGGGGTGGAAGCTCGGTTCCAATGCCAAGTCTCCGCTGCCAGTCCCGGCGTTAAAGAACCGCCCGAAGCCTTGGAAATTTTATGGGTAGTTACTACCTTGGCTCCTAGGCAGTCTTTGCCCCGTGTAGGGGTGTAGGGAGACTATGGCTTGTGCCAGTAAGACAGAAAAACAAAGACCCAAAGAGACCCAATACCTAAATCCTTGTTTTGTGAGTGTTAAATCCTCCTCTGAATTCTGCAAAGCCATTCTGCAAGAAAAACAGACCCAAATCTAACCAACCTACCTGTGAAAAGTACCTCCAAACTACTCACTGTTTAAAGACCCCTAGGGGCAGAATGAATTTCAGTGACTGTTGATAATTATCGGGTTCCTGATCTTTCCAGCTGCATGTTTCAGGCATCAATGTTCTAACTTACACTTTGAATACTTTAAAACTAATCCTGTAGGAAAAAGTAAGTTAAGATAAATGAGTAATTTAACATTTCTGTGTGAAGTGCCAAATTGCAATAACCAGCAAAGAAGATTAAAACCACTTCAGTGGCCTTTAAAAACCAGAGTATTAAGACTATTTGCATTTAATTGCTTATCCAATGCACTCTCACCCAGATAAACTTTGTAGTTTCAAAACTGGCATCTAAAATCTTACAGGTTTTGATTTGTCTTTGAAAAAGATTTGTCTCTTTTTCTACTTTGTTCTGCTCTGGATATCATCCCAGGTCAATTGTTTACAGGTTGACCTTTACTCAGTCCTAGTTTTTCAGACCATCTGTAGCCACATTGGCGATTGTTTTCATTTTCTTAATTTGCAGTGGAATAAATTTGGTGTATTATTTGTAGATGTAAAACGGAGAGCAATGTTATAGTCAACTGACATTGCACTGCTTAGACAGGTGACTCTTAAGAGGCAGATCACAAGTTTAGGATCTTGTTGTATTCAAATCAGACATTTTTTGAGACATATTTATCCCTTTCTTGCCTTCAGTACAATTTAATAACTATACACCCACTTATATCTTCATGATATGTCCTTAAAGAAGAACCAAAAAAAAAAAAAACCCTTGGCATTAAAGCAAGTACCTATCATGCTACATACAAGTTGTGATGAAGGGAATCTAAGGTTTCTGATTACGTGTGACTTTGTATCTGAGCAGTATTATTGGCTATTTTAACAATGACAAATTAGAGAACGAAGATTCATTGAGATGTATTTATGTCAGATAAGATATATTTGCTCCTAGACTGCATTATAATCTTTTCTAAGATCCAAGTTATAAAAATGTGATGACACAGCCATAAAAAGACCTATTTTTGGACATGACCACTTTTCCTTTAAGAAATTTTATAGTGATGAAATTTAGGGGTAATAGAAGATTTTATAGAAGATATTTCATTATCAGAAAATTTTAGTCACCCAGCATCCAGTAACTTTCATATTTTAATGATTACTCATTCTACCCCATGTATTTGAGTATTAAAATGTTGAAGATACATTTTACAGTTGATTTATTTACCCACGGCAGGAAGGGTGACTTGTGCCTCTCTCCCATTTCCCGGGTACTTCTTACCTAGTCCCTGATCAAAGGTACCATTAGATCTAAGTTCATTTGTAGGCTGTGCATGGGTGAATGTTTGCCTCACTAATGGGTGTCCCAAAGTAGGAATGTTGCGGAGTGTCATCTGTTATTTCTAATATATTTGAGAAGATGAAATAACCAGAGTGCAAACAGTTTAGTGGCCTTGATTTTACTTCTGCAGTATTTTATTAGGGATGCCTCATTAAGTCACATTATTCTGCAGCTGTCTTGTTCATTGAAAATTCAAGTAAAAATAAGGAACTTTACTGTGCAGCACAGTTTAGTTTTCTTGGTGAAAAATGGTAAGTTGAAATAAAATTACTATCTACTGTGGTTGCCTTTGATCTATGCCTGACATTTCCAAATGCAATTCATCAATCTATTAATAGTAAGGCTCCATCAAAACAAAAAAGAAATGAATGGACACAGACTGTGACTAGATATGAAGGCCAGACTAGCTGAATCAACCTCATGTATGTTCCAAATGCTTTCATAATATTCCATATGATATATATAATAAACCATTAATTTTTAAAGGCATGTAACACGGTAAGCTTGCCATGTTGTACAAAAATTCTTTGGTTAATTTTATTTTAAACTATTTGGGCCACATTAGATCCTACTCCTAGAGGAGGAGGAGTTATTTCACAACATTGAGTCTTTTTGGATAACAATTTGACCTTAGGTTTGGAGAACACTATGAAGTAGGACGAGATGAAAGTGGGCCTAGGAAGTAAATACTTGGAAGTTTATTTTTGTTTTTTAGTTTTATCCAGCACTCACATTCACACACACACACACACGTATATTTATTTATGGTTATTTTTAGAAAGTAATTCTATTAGTACAGTGATTCAATGTCCTTATCAATCCAACAGAACAGATAATTATTGTCTTCTACTTTTAACCAAAAATCTAAGAAGTCATTAGGCTACTGGAAATGAAGAAAGTAGCATTTAAATGTACTTTTAAGTGATACTGTTTTAGCGTCTAGATTATGTGATTATGTGTACTTTTTAAAAATTAAAATATATAAATAAAAATGTACCTTTAATGAGAACTGTGTAAAAAACAAGTCTGTGTTAAAGGAGTTAAGAACAACTTTATGAGATGTCTCCCTTTTTTTTTCCCTCTCTTGACCTGGCTGATTTCTGGCACTGAGCTTGGGGATTACTCCTAGTGGGCTCAGGGAACCATATGGGGTGCCAGGGATCAAACTCAGCCCAGACACTTGCAAGGCAAGCTCCCTACCCACTGTACTATTGCCCTGGCTCTTAAAATGTCTACATTTTTAAGTACATATGTTTTCACTGTCTTTCATGAGTTTAATCTATTGTGAAATTATATAAATAGGTTAGCAAGATTGTTTATAGGTGAGTCTTACTGTTTGAGTCACTGTAATGTGCTGTATGTTCTCTCTTGGGGGGTGGTGAGATATTTTTATTTATGAGACTACAAAGTCAGAACAAATAGATATTATCCTTTATGTAGTAATGGTTTGTGATGCATTTATTGGCACAATGACTGGAAATTCAACATATTTTTAGCACTAAATATATCTGTATGCCCTCTATTAAGTACATGCCTTCAAAGTAAAAACATAAACAATGCATTATATTAGATCCATGCTATTCTGGTTGATAAATTGAATTACATATTTCCCAGAAACAAAATCATATCATACTTCAAATCTATGTTGAATTCCTAAAAGCTACCTATTTCCAGCGTGTATAACACATGTATGTGATGGATTTCATCCTGTGCTATGATAGATAAGTTAGTTATTTGAATTAGTGAAAATTCTGGCTTATTTAGAAGTTGATTTTTATTACTATTAGAAAATATGGCTTTCAGGTTGCTTGGGATTCAGATGGAAAGTGAATACTATATAAGCTCTCAGGAGAATATTTTATTTTACTGACAGTGATTCATATGGGGCGTGACATGTAACTAAGAATCCGAGCTTATATGCTTATGTTAGATAACGCCTTTTTAATCACTTCCTTGGATCTCCCAAATTACTTCATTGTAGCTGTAATTGTTTTATAATTTTCCCCGAATAGCCAGTTAGTGAAGGTATATCTCTCTTTCCCCTGTCAATAGTGCAAATGTTGTCATTCAATTCAATTTATATTTATATTGCTTCTTTTATGGAGTAGATTTTGAAAACTCTTTGCGGAAAGATTGGATAATGTGATAATGTTGCATCTTAGCAATTATGGTGTAGACTGAATTCAGTGCTTTGACAAAAAGAAGGAAAGCAACTAAACAAATCTCCTTTGCTCTTTTTATTGCCTTGCGCTAGGCAAAGCCAACTTTTCACATAAAACTTAGAGTATGCAAGGTAGCTTTGTAAGCAAGCAAGGTTTGTTTTACTAAATATGTATATGTTTCTTTTCAATTTTTCTTTCTGTTATGAACTAGTCACGAGTCATAATTGCACATTATACAGTGTGAATAGG